ATTTATGGAAAAACAATAATATCGAAATGTTAATTGTTGAACTTTTTTATGGCAGCATTAATTATGTATGTATGTTGTTGCCTTCATTGATTTATGTATGGGCTTTTTTATTTATATTTTAAATGTTTTATTTGTAATGCTTTAAAGCATTTTTAATTTGATTGGATTTATTATACATTTAAATTTATTTGAATTTTTACATCAATACTACATGGATTTCTCTACCCACACCCACCGACCACCACCACCACACAGACACTCTCAAAAGCTGACTGCTACAGGCGAAGCAGCCTTAAATTTTTCATTGCATACTTTTTGCTGTTTTCGTATATTGCCTGCCAATAGATGGCGCTGTGGTGTTGAAATTTTCGCTACTCTCAAGCGCTAGAGGGCGCTACAGTTGCACAGATATTGATCGAGGGGGGGGAGGCTGTAAGATCTCTTTGCCAGCCTCTCTACATAGCTAAGCGAATAGCAGCTAGACAGCCCGTTATCTAGGCGCCATGGCGGCTTTACTCTCTCGTAACCCAAATACGCTTAGGACCTGGGGTTGTTGACCCAAATAGCAAAGTGCAATGAACTACTTGATGGTCAGAGGCAGGGACGCTGGGCAAAGAATGAGCTAGAGCGCGAGTGGTAAAGAGAGAGAGCGACAACAGTTTTGCATACAAAACTTAGCACAGTTTTGTGCTCAAATTAGGACACATTTATCCAATATTTAAGCAAACATTTCAAAAACTACATAAAACAAAAATTTAAGCAGACAAAAATTATCCCAAATATTACCTGAAATTACAGTAACTATAGTAAATAGTTATGGCTGTTTTATTTTCTACATAAATATCTTCAAAAACTCCCAAAAAAAGAAAACTATCAAGCATTTTCCGTAGTTTCCCTGCGTAGCCAACAAGAGCAATCGGAAATGCATTTTCTAGAATTTTCTTTGCCTTTCCCCTCTGTGCAGCGAGCTCAAACAACCCAAATACGTTTTCCGCTTTCCCTCCTCCTCCACACTGCTGCTGCTGCTCATGTTCATCCACCTTCATCTCCTCCCACCCCCACCCCCACTCCTTAGACTTTTCCTCTTTATGCTCACTGACACATTCACACCCCACAACCGCCCTGCCCACACTGTGCCAGAGGGAGATGGTGTCCCGTGTTGTCCCTCTCACGCCTAGACAATTTCATGCTATGCTGCGTCGCTTCTGGCTGAGGCAGAGGCAGAGGCAGAGCTAGTGGCAGAGCGACTGCAGTCAGTCGTTCAAGTGCATTTCAGAGCATTAACCTCTGTGTCGCTCTCCCTCTCTCTCTCTCTCCCTCTCTCTGTCTTTCTATGTGGCTCTCTGTGTGTTTGTGTGTGCTTGGGTCCTAGCCTAACATTTATGTGTCTCTCTCTATGTGTGCTGTGCAGGCAAGTGGAAAACATCGAAAGGAAAATGACTGAATAAAGTGAAAGAGAGAATTGAGGTCTCTTCCACTTGAGAATCGTGCAAATAGAAAAATAGGCAGAGGCAGGGGAAATTTCACTGATAATTTCAACTCCAAATTGTATTTGCCTGTTTATTCTAAGCATTTTTCCTGCATTCTATATAGGGGGATTATCAAGTGTACCTCAAACATCATTATCAGTGCCGTCCCATATCCCCCCGTCTTGTGGTTGCATTGATTGTGTGGCAGGCACTTTCAAAATTGATGCAGGTTAGGTCTAAGGCAAACAGAGATTACAAAGGTCTCCACTCTCCTCTATTACGGATAGATCAACGAAAGTATACGATTTCCTCTCCATCGACAAATTAAATTCCTCCTCTTTCACATTCGCCCCATCTCGCTCTGGCTACCGTATCTCATATTTTGATTGCATTGAATCAGAAAAGCAGAGCAACAACAAACAACAAGCCCCCGCGACGCAGAGAGCCACGAAGAGAGAGAGAGAGAGCGAGAGAGAGCGAGAGCGAGTCAAATGGGGGAATAGAGAGTGCACAACTCTCTCACAACTTATGCTCTTCGCTGCTGCTGGTGTTGGTGCTGCTGCTGCTGCTTTCTTGCGGTGCTATGCTGCGTGCGTATGTACGCTGCCTCTCTGCCGCCTTTTGCTTTGACATTGAACGAGTTCATTCACATTTGCTGCACGCACACACGAGCACGACAAACTACACGAAGCATAAACAACAACTGCCGAGTGAGAGAGGGAGAGAGAAAAAAAAAAAGCAGCGACAGCAAAAGAACGCAGCAATTTATGCATGTGTATGCACGGGAAGAGAGAGCGAGAGGGAGAGGGAGAGAGGGAGTAAAGAAATAAATAAAAATATGTTAAATAATGTGAAAAGAATAACAAACAAGTTAGATAATAATCGGGTGGCAGTGCGAACGAGGCAGGGAGGCAAAGAGGCACAGAGAAAGCCGAGCACAAAGAAAAATGGGCAACAACATTCTATTTGACTATTCCGCTGTCTCCCTGCTTCGCCTGCTCAACCTTTTTACTGCTCCCTGTCCACCAAAAAGATCACCTGTCCATAATTTGTTTTTTTTGTCTGTACGAAATTTTGTAGGAATTGGGTCATTAAGGCAGACCTTAATTAGGGGTGTCACCCCGCAGTGTCAACAAATGTGTAGTAGAGCGGTTAAGGACACTAAGGGACGAACGGGAGAGGTACATATGTACATATGTAATAAGGACAACAGCTAAAATAAAGGACAACAGCTAAAAAGAAGGACAATAGCTAAAAAGAAGAAAACAAATGACAGAGAGACAAAAGGAATGTGAGAACTAGTTAAGGGAAAAGGGAGTCAATTTGTTGTATGGCGTTTCTATGAGGAAGTTCCATGCATAACCATTTGAGTAGAGTCAAAATCGAACGATAGCTTTAAGAAAGGGAGAGCCGCGAATGATTGATACATATGTACATATACATGTAGCATAAATTAAAGATTTTAGTTTTTAGGCTCAATAGTATTTAATTATGTATTATTCATTGTCCAATGTTTTCCGCCATAATTAATCAACCTGAAGAGACGTTCTCCAGCCGTTCTAAAACAATAAAAAACGATTTCCCCCCCACCCCCTCGTACAAACAAGTTCCAATTACGAATAGAAGCGGGTTTTCGTAAGACTATTTTCGGCCAACAAAGTGTCAAAATGAGTCAGCAACGGGATGAAGTCATTCATCAGCATAAAAAAAAGCACACACACACACAAAGTAAAGCGGAGAATATACGAAGTATCTCTCCAACAAAAAATTGAGGTCAATAGACAAAGCGAAGGTTGGCTGGGGATCAGGTAGGCAGAATGTTTCGTAGCCAAAAATGGCCTGGGCGGAAATATTCGAACCGAAACCAGCCACAATCCAATGCGGCGTATGGGCAATCTCCCAAAAAGCTAGCTTCCTACTGAGAGACGATGGAAAGAGCGAGAGAGTGGGAGAGTGAGAGGGTAGATCGCTAACCTTGAACTTCAGACAAAAGCGAGTGATATATGTACAAGTTATAGGCCTATTCTATTTAGCTATACAAACGTTTGGATACTATGTGCATATATCCAACATACTAAAGGTGCCAAATGATCTTCCAAGAAACACGCCAGAAAAGCAAAAAAAAAACAAAAAAAAAACTGGTCAAAAAAGTCAATGAACTTCTTCTCCTTTTCGATTTGGATTCGAATTCGGGTTTTGGGTTTAGTTCTTGTGAGCAAAAGTCTGAAATTTCAGACGCGCAGACAGTCCAAACGCAGGAGAGCAGAACACAGAACACAGAGAGAGAGAGAGAGGGAGAGGGAGAGTGGCTGTTAACCTAATTCAAGGACGTCATTGAGACATTAATACTGGACTCGCCGGGAGCGAAGTGGCTGGCGAATATAAGGGAATAGGGCAAACTACTTTGCCAAGGTTATGGCAGAGCCAGACCGTGAATGCGCTCGTGACACGATCCGCACACTCAGTCAGGATGGTGGGAAGGCGTCGTCTGCGGGAGAGGAATGAGAGGAAACGCGTCCATCGTGTGTTCTGTTGTGTTGGTCACGCAGTCATCTCTGGTAAGGGGGGTACCATCAGCAGCGTCTGCGGCGAGCGCAAGAACGAGACGGATCACCACCAATGGACTCTGGCCAGATCCGACTCCTCTCTCTCCCTCTCTCTTACTCCTGGTTTCGCTCCCCTGCTCTGCTCTGCTCTGCTCTGGGCGAATGAACTTGCCGGCATTTTCAATGTCACAGACGACAAAGGGCTCTCTCTCACAGCAGCAGCAGCAGCAGCAGCAGCAGCAGAAGCAGAGCAGCAGCGCAGCTCAAGCTCAGATGAAGCTTCAGCAGAGGGCAGACTGCAGCGGCAGGAGCAGCAGAGCCAAGATCTATTTGTGTGGGGTGAGGCATTGCCACCGAAGCGTACACCACGGGACACAAGCAAGACCTCGCCTTATGGAAATATACCTTGGAGCAGGAGCAGCAGGAAGGCGAGTAAGCAGCAGCAGGAGCAGGAGCAGAGGAGGAGGTTTTCGTTCTGGTTTGGTGGTTGCTTTTTTTTTCTCCCGTCTCCTTGCTTTTTTTTGTGTTTTTTGTTTTGTTTTGCCCAGGACTGTATGTAGTCCTCTTCTCCTCCTTCTACTTCTTCCCTCCTGCATTGTTGTTGCTTATTTGATTTATTTTATTGCGACGCAATTTTATGCAAGGACAATTCGCAGACAGCGACACAGTGAGCGAACGAGAGACGGGGGAGAGACGTCCGCGGCAGGTTTGAAGGGCAAAGGCAGGCTGGCCGGGAAGAGTGGGAGGGGAGCAACGCGGAAAAGTACCCGACATTCGAGGGCAAAATCAACCCTACCCTGCACACGAAGCGAACCCGAACCCTCGCTGTTCCTGGAGGTCAAACGAGTTCAATGTCAGGCCTCGAAGTCGGTGGTGGTGGTGGCGGTGGTGCAGTGCAGTGCTCGTGGCCCGCACACTTTATGCCCGGCCGGCTACAGCCCGCCCCCTCACCAGTCTAGATGGATGTCGGTTGTAAATAACTTACCTTGCAACCCTCGCAGGAATGCACGCCGTAATGGAAACCGGAGGCCTTGTCTCCGCAAACACGACACAGCACTGTAGTACCGTCAAATTCTGGAAGAAAAAAAAACATGAAAGAGAATGTTAAGATTAATCAGATTGCGGATAAATTAGTGTGTGTGTGGGCGGGGGGGTGGAATATCAAAGAGGATTTGAGCCTGGAATTGGATTGCAATTGGAATTTTGAACATACACTAATTAAAATACTTCCCATTAAAGATGCCATGCAAAAACTAGATCAAACAAAAAATCGAATCGAAGAAAACATTGAATAAATCAAAGCAACAAATGACAGATCTATCGTTTGGCATTGAAATTTGAGCGCCGCATTTGCTCAAGATCAAAACAATCAACAACTTTCATTATCACTTCCCCATTCCCATTCCCCCATTACCGTTCAGAAAGAAAGCAAACAACAACAAAAGTAACAACAACGTAATACTTTCTTTCTGCTACAGATGCCAGACAAGACAGTCGTAACGAGAGACGAAGAAAGCAGCAAAACGAAATGGGGAAACGAAAACTTGTTGCCCGCTGAACTTGAGCCCGTTCTTGGTCTGGGGGAAATGTTATGTAACTTTCACCGGTGAGCAAGCGCGAGAGAGAAAGAGAGAGAAGTAAACAAGAAAACCTGTCAGACAAGAAGAAAGTAAACAAAGGCAGAACGAGAATTCACAGAGAGAGAGAGGGAGAGAGCGAGCGATCGAGTGAGTCGCACGGCTAAAACAAGTTTGGATCGCTCTCAGAGAAAGACTTTCTTTCGAACATTTTGTTTGTTTGGCTTTAAGTCTTGAAGAAAGTCTTTCTCTCTCTCACACTCTCTTTAAAGCTTCTGTAACAATCAGAGAGAGAGAGAGAGAGAGAGAGAGAGAAAGAGAAACGTAGATAGCAGACATGCCACACGCTTTGTAAACAATTGTAAATGGCAAACAATGCTCATGATCTTCACGCTGCCATGGCCATCCCCATCCCCATCATCATCATCATCTTGAATCTGTATCTCTGTATTTTTTTTTTTTTTTTGCTATTTCTGTGCCAGACCCCGCGCACACAACAACAGCAACACCAGCATCTGTGCATCTATGTGCGTGTGTGTATCTGCAAGTTCACTGACATTTCGCACTGCAGATCGTTGCACTTTTGCATCGAACAACAACCAAGGAGAGGGCAGGGTAGAAGTAGGGGATCGTGTGCACGCCACTGACTGAGTCTCTGCCATGTCTGAAGTACATGGCCTCTCAGTAGATTGCTGCAATAAGATACATAAATTATGGGCTAAATGCAATGTGGCGGCTGAGGATCACTGATCTACTTTCCATGCACTTGGATAATTAATTGAGCCCCAAATGGGGCCCGTAGATAACGAATTAAGTCACACGATACAATGGCTGATCTTTAATGGATACTTCGTACTAAATGTTCCTTTAATTCAGTATTTGTATAACAATTAGGATCTTGAATGAATTATAAGTGTGATTTACTAATTCCAATATCTAGAAGAGCAGAACTATACGCTTAAGATTGTCCTTCCGCTATACCTGATGGAAAAACCTCTTCCCAGATAGGAATCTGTTCTTGCAAACATAATCAAAAAAACATTCTCCCATTTCCCTCGTTTGAACTTGAAAGATTTAATTTCAATTAAATTACCTAGTTTTCTTTTTTGTTTTGGTTTTTTGTTATTTATTTGGGGCACATTTAAAAATATTTCGTTTGGGGGCGTCAAAAGAATTAGGAATGCCTGCCTCGCGATGCGATTTTGAACCGATCTACGAATTTCGATTCTGTTTCGGATTCCGAATTTATCTGTTTCTTTCTCTCGCCTGGCTTACGTCATTGCCATTGTGATTTATACATATAAAAGTAAAATATTTTTTGTTTAAGAACTTTGCTTTTGTAATGGATTCTACTCAGGGCTTCTACCAAATGGTGTTCTATAAACAAAAAGGCGGCAAGGTCGCAGTGAAGAGGCCTGCCTGCCTGCCTGCCTGCCTCTCTGTTTCTGTATCTCTCTCCTGTCTACCCTTGAGAACTTTTGAGTTAATCGTTGTTGCTGTTGGCATTCCGCTAATCGGCGACACGTGTAACGGCCTGATAAATATTCTATTCTATTTCCATTTTTTTGTGTAATAATAGCATGGATGGCAGTGTATCGATAGTGGTTTGGCATTTTGTTTGAATGTTTTACGGGGTATCACGAAATTCATTAAGCATTATTGTTGGCAGATTAGAAGGCTAGAACAATAATGAATCATGTGTGCTTGGAAATTCATTATAATAACCAAATTCAAATGTGTAAGTTCAAGTGTTTTTTTTTTGTATGCCTAGGATTGCCATGACTTTTAGCTGAGTTTATAAAGAGATAAACAATGATTTTCCCTCGGTATTCCCCTAATTTCTGCCAATGTGACTATCTGCAGAAACTTTTTTCTATAGTACCAATACTCAAACATATGTACAATAAATTATTTATTTCCACCTACTTTTCGTATTTACATATGTATGTATATGTATGTATTAGCTAACCAAATAATCTCGCCTCCAAAATCTATGAGCATTATCTAATACGCACCACACACACACACACATGCACACACACATGCACAGAGACGACCTTGAAAGTTTCATTCACTTCACACGAACAGTGACAAGGAAGGAAGAGTGCGGAAGATTGTAGGGGCATAGTCAGGAACGTCTTGGTGAAGGAGTGTTGGCAGCGACAGGGGGGGGGGCACTATCAGCTAGAAATACGCCAAAGAGCAGCCAGCAACAACAAAAAAGCACAAACAAACAAATGCCACAGACATGCTCAGACACGCACAAACACATACACAGGCACAGGCACAGGCACGAACACGCTCAAAAATATGATATGACGAAGAGAGAGAGCGTGGAACCACTATATAGCAAAGGGGGGAGAATAGTGCAGGGGGATACGGATACCCTGCCATATTGGCAATGTTCTGTTATGAGTCGAAAAAAAAGATTGAAAGGGGGGTGGATCATTTCGATGACGGTCATGTGGATACCCTGGAAGATCTACCATTTAATAAAATCGAATTACACTTTTTTGAAATATCTTAAAACTACATAAATATTTTGTTACACCGACTGTTCCTATAACAGTTGCTATATATATATTATCCTGATTGCTTAAAATCATAATACCCTCCCTACACACCGGCGAACAGGGTACACACAAAAAGAGACTCTAAATTAAAATTTGACATTGAAATTTTTTTTGCTGCTGCTGTTGCTCTCTGTCTCACTCACACGCACGCTCACAGTCAATCAATAAAAGTTTTGTGCGCGTGCAGGCAGCCACCGAGTGGAAGCGAGAGAGCAAGCGTGTGTTCTCGTTCTCGCCTCTGCTGCTGCGCTGCTACTACAGCTGCCGCTGCTGCTGCCGCTGCCTACACTTCAATGCGGAAATGTTCGGACAGGTTTTTATTTCTCATTTCATTTCGTTTTATTTCGCTTAATTTTTTGTTTTTGCTCCCAGTTCAATGTATCGTTTAATCAACCAAAAAAAACAAAAAACCAAAAAAAACATTCAAAACCAACAAAAAATTATTCACAATTTTTGTTCGTCAAGTTCAAAAAACGCAACTGAGGTCAATCACAAGACAGCGTCTAAGGGGGGGATAGGGGCGGGGACACCTTGTAAAATGTGGGCGTGTGCGCTTAGCCTTAGTTCATCGCTAAATTAAACTTTTTGTCATTTGTTGACTTTCGATTATGCAATATATTTAACTGGAATTAATGGGATACTAATGACCCCACGGCACCGAACCAGACATTCTTTTTGTTGTTTTTGGAGTGCATTGATCTTCGGTTTAATTTCGTTTTTGCTTTTTGTTGGGAAGAGGAGGGCTGAGGGAGAGGGCCTTGCACTTTCTGGATCAAAACTGTTGAACTCCACACATGTACGGCAGGGAGGTTGTTTCTCGTGGCGTGGGAACGTTTACTTTTTGGTGAGGAGGAGTGTGTCTGATGTAAAGGAGTGTAAGATTCCTGGATGCCAAAAAATTCCAAAATATAAAAGTGAATGATTCAATCTTTTTTATCCAAATGAAGAGTTTAAAGGAATTCCTCAATGGGGAGCATAATTAAAGGGAATTCCTCAAGTTATCCGAAAGTAAAAGTTCCCCCTAATAAATAAATTGCAATAAATACGCTCGATACAACGGTACACTCCAACTGTACATTTTTTTTTGGCATTTTTTGTGACTTTCAATTTGGCTAGTTTTCACTTTCTGGCAGGTCTTTGGCCGCCTAATAAATTTCTAAAATGCACAAATAATTGTGCCAATAAAAATAAACACGATCGGAACGAGAGTCAGAGTCAGAGCCAGAGCCAGAGACAGAGTCAAATGCGAAATGCGAAATGCGCCGCTCGTAAAATCGCATAAAGGAAACTTTCGCAAGAGTTCAAGCGCCCGCCCGTTGCGCCGCCTACGAAAAACTCGGCCCAAAAGCCTGGCCAAAAGGAAAACGCGGCAAACAGCCAAAAGAAAATAAACGAAAACATAAATAAAATAAAAGCTAAGCAAAAGCAAACGAAACTTTTCACTTGGACAATTGTAGCGAGGCTTGACTTTCACCGACATTCAGCAACGACGTTGGCGGCAGGCAGCAGGGGGCATGCGGACGGACGACGGTACGGTTCGTGGGGGCAGGCGGCACCTGAAGGAGTCATTAACCCGCCGCCGGCTGCTGCTGCTGCTATGTAAAAATGTCAAAGACAATTTGACAGTCCGCTGACGGGGGGGGGTGGGGAGAAGGTGGTGCTGCTTAGACCCGGTTTTGCCCGTAAATTGGCTGCGCATGCGCAGTCGTCGGTTGCAGTCGGCGTCGGTGAAAAGTGAATTTGGCCGCAAAATGCAGTTGGCTTTTCACTTTCGTTTGTGCGAAACCCGACTCTTGGCAAGCGGATGCACCCGACCTGGCCAAGAGCACAAGCACAACACACAAACACACACACACACACACATACAGAGACAGAAATTCAATTCAAATGAATAACAAATAAAAATAAAACCAAAGAGAAAGAC